AAGGAGTAATTATCAATGATTTACTGTCAAATTGAAAGGACATTTCTAGTGGAATTTCACAGGGGTATGTTCTGGGTCTGGTACTGTTCAACGTTTTAATTAATTACTTGGATAATGGAGTGGAGAGTGTGCTTATTACATTTGCAGATGACACCAAGCTGGGAGGTCTTGCAAGCATGTTGGAGAACAGAACTGGAAATTCAAAATGACCTTGACAAATTGGAGAACTGGCCTGAAATCAACAAGATGAAATTCAATAAAGACAAGTGTAAAGTACTTCACAACTATAAAATGGGAAATAACTGGCTAGATGGTAGTACTGCTGAAAAGGATCTGGGGGTTATAGTGGATTACAAGTGGAATATGAGTCAACAATGTGATGCAGTTGCAAAAAAGGCTAATAGCATTCTGTGATGTATTAACATAAGTGTCATATGTAATACACGGGAAGTAATTGTCCCGCTCTACTCTACACTGGTGAGGCCTCAGCTGGAGTACTGTGTCCAGTTCTGGGCACCACACTACAGGAAGGATGTGGATAAACTGGAGTGTCCAGAGGACAGCAACAAAAATGATAAAAGGTTTAGAAACCCTGACCTATGAGGAAGGGTTAAAAAGCTCGGCATGTTTAGTCTTGAGAAAAGAGATTGAGGGTGGGCCTGATAACAGTCTTTAAATATATTAAGGGCTGCTATAAAGAGAATGGTGATCAATGTTCTCTGGGTCCACTGAAGGTAGGACAAGAAGTCATGGGCTTAATCTGCAGCAAAGGGCATTTAGGTTAGATATTAGGAAAACCTTTCTAACTATAAGGATAGTTAAGCACTGAAAGAAGTTTCTAAGGGAGGTTGTGGAATCCCTGTCATTGGAGGATTTTTTAAGAACAGGCAGGACAAACACTGGATAAGGATGGTCTAGTTCACTTGGTCCTGGTTAAGCACAGGGGCTGGACTAGATGACCCCTTGAGGTCCTTTCCAGTCTACATTTCTATGAATCTAAGATTTAGAATGAAGATTTAGAATGGGCAGGAATGTTTAACAGGCACATGAAGGCTATGGAAACCTATCCTTCCTTTCAGATACTATTACCAAGGCCACAACTTGGTGATTCTGAAATGTATTAGGAAGTGGGCCACTTTATTTCATTAGCCTCACTGAAACACACAAACTCCCATGTCTCTTGTTGCTATCCAGCAACATGTCAATCACATCCTCTTGCTTGAAACAAATTGCTCACGTGAATGGAAATAAAAGATGCAGCAAATGACTACAAGGCTAGCCCAGGTACAGGTGAACAAAGGTAACTTGCCAAGTGTCCAGGTACAGTACTTTCTGGATTTGAATACTGCAGGGGCAGGACTGCAGTAGCACTCCCAATGAAGCTGTACTGGCAGAGGTGTCCTGAAGCAGCTGACAACATCTGTCCCCACCCTACCGCATGCTACTATGTCTCATACATTCATGACAACAAGGCCAATTTACAAATTGTTTTAAGCACTATTTATTTCTTATGCAGCCACTGAGGACAACCCGGTGCTATTGAAGACTGAGGTTTGCATGCTTTGCTTCTCTGGTCATGTTGCAAGCAGCTTTATAGTTATGCAAATCATTAAACTCCCCCTAATGAGGAACTGCACCATCATTTGTTTTCTTTCCACATCCCATCCTAGTCATTGTTTTAACCATGGTCATCTTGGATTATCACAATATACAGCTCTGAATCGAACCAAAATTGTTAAACAGATTGTTATAAAGAGAAGGGTGATAAATTGTTCTCCTTAACCACGGAGGACAGGACAAGAAGTCATGGGCTTAAATTGCAGCAGGGGAGATTTAGGTTGGACACTAGGAAAAACTTCCTGTCAGGGTAGTTAAGCACTGGAACAAATTACCTGGGGAGTTGTGGAATCTCGGTCATTGGAGGTTCTTAAGAACAAGTTAGACAAACCCCTGTCAGGGATGGTCTAGACAATACTTAGTCCTGCCTCAGTGCCAGGGACTGGACTAATTGGCCTGTCAAGATCCCTGCCAGTCCTCATTTCTATGGAAAAATCCTGTTACTGGCTCTCAGAAAAGGTGAAAGGATTGAATGAAGCTGGGGAGCTGTCCAAGGTGCTGTATTTCCTTATATCAGTCCCTGGAACAGAGGGGTGGAAATTGCAAAGTACAGAACAGCTCAACGCTAGAATATTGGCTCTACTTGCCCCCGAAAATTATCTTATGGGTCTTATGGTAAGAGCCATTTCCTTTGTTTATCTTTCCCTTCTGTCCAGTAGCAGAGTCACTGTCTCTTATGAAAAGGGTAAATTGAGCATGCTGCCTATTCCTTCATAGGGCCACAGCACATTAACGCTTCCATCAGAATCAGATTACATAGCATTTCATTCTGATTGAAAGACTAAATAAAACCTGAAGGCACATTAAAATGATTAAGCTGCACATTGCTTTAGTGACACAGATATGAAGTCTGTTCTACAGATGGGTAAATTGAAGCACATTGATAAAGTAACTTACCCAAGGTCATACAGCGAATCAGTGGAAGAGACACAAATAAACTCTGACTCCTAATCCTCTGCTATATCGTACTGCCTCCCCGGTCACAACTACCTCTACTACAAAGTACTTACTTCTGATCTCTCCCTTCCCAGGAGTCTTCATGGATTAGTATAAGAAAAGCAGACGCCTTGTACCCTACTGGGCAAGCCCATAGGCCATTTGGGTGAGGGTGTGTGTGAAGTTTTAAGATATTCCCACTGGGCGTGCATTACTACATTTATGAAGATAACCAAGAGTTTAGAATAAAATTGAAACTTGGAAGAATTAGTTTTGCAGTTGGGGGTCCCATTTTAATATGACACACACACACACAAACATAGGCACATGACGTCTATACGAAACAACCTCTGTCAAAGAAGAGGTGTCTAGGACATACAGGAGAGAAATAGCAAGTGACAAAACAAACGAGGGGTGATTAAGTATAATCTTAATTTAGGTGCAGTGCTGCACTTCAGGGCAATGATTAGCTGTGCAAAATCTACCTTTTCTACACTCGGAGGTTTACTGTCACATCCTATGGCTCACTTATCCTGTTTGAGAAAATAGTTCAAGGTATTACTGGCAACAATGTGGGTTTTGTTTTTAAACAGAAGTAACAGTGTTATCTGGCTCTCTAGAGAACCCAACAACAATTCCTATTGCCTGCCAGCAAGGATCCATTATTTGCAAGAACATCTTCATTTAAACGGCTGTAAAAATACAGTCGTTTCATTGGCAGTCTCTGGCTGGAGGAAGACGTTAACGTTGCTTAACTTTTAATCAATCAAGTCCTTTACAAGAGAAAATAAAGCTATTTTTTAAGTTCTGCTACATCAGTGTTCAAACAGGCGATCACACCGACTGCCACGATGCACTTCCAAGGCCAGGTGGCAGAGGTTTGTGCCCCAAGATGAGAGGTGGATCTGAATCTCCATAGCCGGGGAAGCTGAGTTAGCCGAATTAAAGCAAGTGCTAAAAGTGACAGCATGCCCGGCTCTCTCTAATCCCTTTTGGCTATGGACAGGTTTTCCTCCAGTGCTCTGCACAAACATGAGAAGTAGCAGGCAACAGCCTGCTGGCGAGGTGTTACATTGTGCATTCAAATGAAAAGGATAGATACAGGCAGTGACTCAAAGGAGCAGAGCACTTCTATCACTCTGACAGGTAGTCTCAGATGGATGGCAGGACTAGTTGGCATTTATGTGAAAGCTAAGCTTATGCCAGGGGGCCTCTGCCAGGTGGGGGGAGGGGGAGAGTGGGGAAGCAGACAGACCTGCACTTCTAGGTAGAGGAAAATCAGCTTAGGGAAAAAACACCATCACAAGAACTAAGAATTTCCTGCAGAAAACAGTGTGAAAGAGAGTGAAATGAAAAAAATGAATCCATAGTGTCTAAACATCAGTGGGGATGGGGAAGGAGGGAATGTGTTAAACTGTGGATGGAGGAGGTCATTAAGTTTCCATTAAATGATACATTTTCTGAATTCTCGTGTGAGCTGATGACCTCCCAAGCATCTAAAAAGTAGAGGATTTTCCTAGACTTCTTGAGTTGCTATTGATTACCTCTTGGAGAAAAAATTCAGAGGATTTTGAACCAGTCCTACATAGATAGGATTTTTCAGATGTTTTGGTACATGTCTCTGCAGTTTAATGCCTAAATGAGCACCAACGCCTGTGTTGGCGTAAACGCTTTATAGTATTGGGTCACAGAAGCCTTTTAGCTCACCTTGAAATGAGGAAAATGCTTGCTCCCACCGCCTGAAACCCCGTCAAAGCAGCCACCATCACTATACTGAAGTGATTCTAATGTAAATGCTCACAGCAAAAAGGAGAATGGACCAAATTTGCGTGTGTGGGAGAAAGCACATGCATGGCTGTCACATTTTGTTACACTGTCTACTTCAGTAACCAACACCATTCACTTCTGGTGTGAGATGACAACAAATTACACAAGTCTTCAACACAGTATGGCAACTAACAAGGCCAGTGCAATTTTAGTCACAGATGTGGAGGAATCCTGTGGACCTTGTTACCAGAAAAATACTGACAAATCAGAGGGGATTCAGAGAACAAACGAGTATGGGGCTAGAGAGGCTGAGAAGGAAGGAACTATGTCCGTAGTGCTGGCCTAGAGAGAACTAAAAGGGTAGGGATAAAAGTAATCAGGGTTTAAACATCAAGAAGGGAGAGGAACTATTTAGAGTGGAACAAATTGGTATAAATAGGAGGAAGCGTGTCCATTTCTGCTGTATATGTGGAAACACTTCCAGTCGGGCTATAGGAAGGGATAAAAGTCCTATTGCTTGGGACATTTAGGACAAGATGGAGAAAAACATTAGAACGTTTATTCTAGGTAACAATCCTGCACTGGTAGGGAGATGGACTGGATGACTTAAGTCTTGTCCACCTCTTAAAACTGAGGTGTAGGCAACCTGGGACTCTTATAGGGAAACAAAAAAAGCACCATAATTTAGAATTCTAATTTATTATTAAATTACATAACAAAGCTTTTTTATACAGACAGAAAATGCACATTAGGTGAGAACAAAAATAATTACAGGTACAATAAAATAGTTAGGTTTCAAGAAGCCATTTGAAAAGCAAACGAATTAGAAAGTGCAAATGGAAAAGAACATACATGGGGCTGGGTTGGTATTTTCCATGAGAAAGAATAACTGTTAGTCTGGACAGAGTGTGACTGGAACGGCTTCCCGCTCTCTGAATGGTGGGCAGACCAACAGCTGACTCATTCAAAGCTGAAAGCTTCCCACTGCAGGCATGAGCCGAGAGACAGGGCACAAGGAGCAGATGTCTCCATGGCTCAGCTTTCTCTGAAGTTGTCTTTCGATGTATTCTGCACATTGTTACATCTGCTCCCTTCCCTGCAGAGTTTCGTAACACCAACTGTGTCACTTTCTAAAGGAGGGAATCATTCTGAAACCCTTTGGAACAAAGCCTGTGTCCTCCTTCCCTGCCCTGAGTGTTAGTTGAAAACAATAGGAAAAAAATCCTGTTGTGCATCAAGGGTGCTTGGGAAGCAACTTTTAGTTACTTTAGTAGTTTAACTGTGTTGGCTAAATTAGCTACATAGCCAAAAGTGCTAGGCCAGCCGTTACCCCCTGTGCAGCAATTCTCAGGGTTCCTTGAGGAATGAAGCCCTGGCAGTTGAACTATCAATGCATGTCTCACACCTACATGCTGCCTACACATCTACTTTTGCCTTTTTATTTTCAACACCCAGTGAAGAACTTTATGTTCTGCACATTCTGATTTTGTTGGGCCCTTCAAAAGAGGACTTTTGCACGGAGCTGAAGAAAAGCATTGCTTGGTTATCTAACGGGGCGGTGTGAATTCCTAACTGAATTCAGAACTCTATGCCCAGAAGTTCCTAAATTTGCCAGGGATTAATTGAAGAATGAAAGTGCTGTGTTTTCCATTACAACCTCTCAACAGCAGGCAGACTCAAAAGCACCGTCCTGTCTTATTAATGAAGAGGGATCTGGTGAACATTCTACTGGTCCCAGAGACAGGCTGAGGGAATAAAATAAAACCCTTTGTGCATCCTTACTTTGCACTCTCTCTCTCTCTAGTGAAGGATACAGAATAGTGATCAATAGTATTGCAGGAACAGCAGTCTGGTACTGAGGTTGCCAAGCACAGCATCAACAGGCAACGCTCATTTGGCATAAAAACGCCGATAACGTTTTCAGGGAATTCATCGCTGTGCATCCCACTTACGGGCAGGATTTTCAGGCAGCACTGGATTTTACCAGGATTGCTGCTCGGGTGGCTGGAGTCTGAAAAATCATGCTGCAACTTTTAGCCAGAAAGTGGGCCAGGAGACTGAAGAGGAAGAAATGTTCCTGTGTTTATTTGGGGCTGGGTAAAAGAGGGCAGAAGAGCTCTTTCTGGAGTTTGAGGAGAGCTGATGGCTTACCAGACAGCTTTACAACAGGTGGTTGGTCACTGACAAACAGCACATGGAAAGAAGTGATAGTAGAGCCCCTGCAGGTCAATGTGTTTCCCCTCTGAGAGGCGATGGAGACTGAGGGCTGGTCCCCACTTAGTCCGGACTAAGGTACGCAAATTCAGCTACGTTAATAACGTAGCTGAATTCGAAGTACCTTAGTCCGGACTTACCGGGGTCCAGACGCGGCCGGAAGTCTCCCCCCGTCGACGCTGCGTACTCCTCTCGGAGAGCTGGAATACCGGCACCGATTGTGGGCACTTCCGGGATCGATCCGGGATCGATTTATCGTGTCTTAACCAGACGCGATAAATCGATCACAGAACATCGATTGCGTGCCTCCGGACCAGCCGGTAAATGAAGACTAGGCCTGAGAAGCATCTTGAAAGTGATCTAAGCTTGTTTTTGTGCTTTGGCCACAACTTCTCCCTACAGCTCCTGCTGGTGGATAAACCGGAAGGCAATACTTCCAGTGTCACTGATGGGACTACTGAGGAGCCCCACCTCCAAGACAGGCGCCTCTAACTGGCCTTGAGAACCAGAAAGGCAGAGAAGTGCTGGACACAACGAAAAAATATGGAAATACATTTTGCAATAGGAGGCAGGTGAACAAGCTGCAAAGAGAGGAGCAGTGGGTCAGAGACTCCGGATTAAATCTTAAATCAGCCCACTGTTTTCTGTTTACTCTCCCTTATTTTAAGGTCCATTGTCCCTAATTATAGAGCTATGCTAGAAAGAGATTCATGGCATTTAGCAAGTCTCTCCCCCAGGCCAGCCATTCTATCCATTTTAGAGAGATGCTGGATGCCTGCTTGTGTCAGGTACATGGCCGACAGTAGCTCACGAAAGGGCAATTCTGCTAGGATAATTAAATATATTTGATACAAACCCCTCTCAACACCAGCACCAAATCAAAGTCACTGAGCAGTTGCCAACCACTGAAATGCCACCTCCAATATTAACCCCTCATTTTCAAAGGGAATTCATCATATTTCTACTCCTTTATGCCCTATAACATATCAGCTCCTCCACAGTCCTAACAAATTGATTGATATTTGCTACAATCTGCACATTTTCATAGCTTTTTTTAAATACACGGTAAGATTAAATAATGCACCAAATCAATTAAGCTAATTAAAAAGACTGGTCATCAGATTAAATAAATGAATTTATTTACGATTTGCAGGTCTTATAATTGCCAACTACATAGCAACCAAATCCTATAAACCCTAATGGAGCATAACTGCCAGTCAGGGCCCTTTGAAAAATCAAAGAAAATAAAGTATCAGGGGAGAAGAGTTTTGATAGAGATTCATTAATAAATTTCCTTTATCCTTCAGTCTTTATCAAGAAAAAAAACCTAATGAGCACTTCATTTCAAAACCAGGGATATTCCCCAATCAACCAAACGACCATCCCTTATTTAAAAAGGCAAACCTCAATTTTACTAGCATTAATTGCAAGTGCCTTCTAATCCCAAAAATAACCGACAAAACGAGTCTTTGTAGCCTGTTTGGCACAAAGAGGGTATTCTGCACATAAGCCTTTTTCAAGTCCAAATGAACAATACAGTTTATACAACTGTGTGGTTTCATACACACACTACACAGGCACAATTCTTTACTCCCTCCAACAGGGTACTGCACATACACTATAAAAGCAGTAATAAAATGAATTATAACTGGTGGACTGTCTTCTTCTAGCACAAAGGAGGACCTGGAGACAAGGGAAGGTCTCCGGACCGCCTCTGGCAACTATGATTAATGGGAAGACGCATTAAATTTGGGAGTGTTGTAAGTCAGTTGTGCAAATAGTTAATGAAGTTCTTCAAAAAAAAGGCCAGTGCCTCAGAATTTTGCTAGTTATCGTTATAAGACAGGCAAAGATGGCATAGAACAACTGGAAAGGGGAGAGAACCTGTAATTTGTAGATTTGCTATATCAAAGACATTCCTGACATTAGATTTCTTAACAGATATTCATCTGCAGAGACAAACCCAACAGGTTTTGCTAACAATCTAAAATCTCTGCTGTGTTTGGACAATGAACAATTGAAAAAAATATTTATGTACATGTGTTTTGCAGATACTAGAGAAGAAACGTAATTGCATATTCAGCCACTCATTCATTTAACTCTACTATGAGGAGCTATGTATTTAACAATTTTGCACACAGATACATTGGCAATCAGGCTTAACCGATGTATTTTCCCTTTCCAATGTACAGGTTAGACTCCATCCTACTTACAGTGTAAAAATATTAATGCTATTAGAATACCTTTCATCTAAATTAAAATAGACTTTTGAAACTATTATGTCTTTATGAAGCCTTTTGTGATATCAGCCAAAACCAAAATATTTACACCCAAAAGATTACTTTCAGGTGAAAGCGTGTTTGGTCACTTTAAATGATTTAATACTACGGTAAAACTGAGAGGATACTATGCTCCCTTTTTCCAAAGCAGGACTGCAAATATTTCCTGGAGTCCCCTTAAAGCCACAAAAAACCTTGTAAGTGCTCCTCAGATAGCAGTTCAGACATCTTCTGTGCAAAAAGTGAATTCAACAATCCTTATCTGTCTCAGGAATTTGTGGGAAGGAGCACAGTTTTCACAGCACAAGTTAAGTAGAAATGACTCGCAATAGCTCAATCATGAGTAAAAAACTTAGAGGTTGTATTCAGTAACAAACCAACCTGATGGCTTAAAGCTGCAATATCCTTATTATAGGGCAAAAATATCTAGTCCTGTACTTGACCGTCAGGGGAAACTGGCTTCCTGAAGAAATTTCACCTAAGAGAAGCTTAACAATTGTTTCACTTAACAGCCAATGACAGATTTCATTACCATCATCAAGTAGGGAAGATTCTCTACTGAGTCTCATAAATGTTGTATATTACTTACCTTGTAGTGAGACAGGGGATTAAAAAAAATATTTAAGCAAAATTTGACCAAAGAAAAAGAAATAGTTTTGGCAGGGGAGGAGAAATACTGCAGCTTCAGCTCAAAACCAGTGTTGTAAAGTCTGCCACCATAAACCTTAGACATCATGCTGATATTCCAGCCATCATGTGCAGGCTGTTTATCAGGTCTACTGACTTCCCCCACCCACTTCTCCTTGATGGGTTGGGAGCAGATAAGGTTATCAGAGTCTATGGAGAATGTCTGTCAATGGAAAGCGTATAGCAGCAATAAGATGGTACAGATGCCAATAACGCCACCCAGGATGAGAGAGTCCCGTCGCTTCCGTAGGTTGATCCTTTGAATCAGATTGTTCACTGCGGGAAACCGATCTTTGGGGGTCTGAGTTAAGGTCATATTAGCAAGCAGCATCAAAACTGGGGAGAGCCCAGATCTATACACAGACATGAGCAGCAAAGCAAAGAGTTCAGAACTAATCACAAACCAAAGAAAACAGATGTCACAAAAAGGCCTTATGGCTAGTTAGCAAGATTACAATTTTACTTCATTAATAAAAAACAATGAGAGGAAGAGGGTAACAGAAAAGCGTAAAGTTGGTGTTTATGCAGAAGCCTATATGTAATCCAGCATGAAATCTGGGATAGCTGAATACAAAAGGTTGTGAAATTTATTTAGCAGAACACTAGTAATGGTAACGGGAACAACGGATGGTGTTTGGCTACAGAAATAGTTCCTATCCCCCAGATGAAGACTGTTTACTGCATGGCATAGAGGGAAGAACTGCCCTCACGGTAAAATGTGGAGATTTATTTAATGTATATAAATGAGATCTGCAACAAGTTCGCAAGTTTCAGAGCTTTGTCTTTGCACCCACGAATCTCTTAAGGCTAACGTTTATTGAGCTGCTTTTGTTCTTGCCAGTCACTAAAAACAGTCTAATGAAATTTATGTCTCATCAAGCTACATATCTCCAGGACATATCTTCTGTCTAATCAAATGAGGCTAATGCCCCTCGTTGTGCTGCTACAATGGAGAAGAAGAAATAGTAGGAAAAATGGTAAACATGCATGACTTCACAATCCAGCACATTCTTTAGCCTGGAGCATGAAATGGGGGAGATGAAACGAACAAACTAAAAACTTAAAATCAAGAGGTCTGAGTGACACAAGAGGCTCTTCAAGTCATGGAAACATTTTGCTCTGCACTACAGCCATGACACATCCACATCAAACTGCAGCCATTTGTCCCTGAAAGTAAAATGCCAGGAAAACAATAAAATACAATAATACTTCTAGCAGAGTGTATGTAGTTGGAGTATGTTAGATTTTGTTGTTCTAGATCTCTAAATGAAGCTTAAATGTTGGCTTATATTTAGTATTCAAAGTTGCATTTAAAAAACCCAACAGCTAAGTTTATCACACTGTTAATCCGAGCAAGACATCTTATTGATGGAGTGGGCCAGGCATAATGCAATCTTTGGCTCAGCAGATGTATGATGACTGTGTTATATTGCCATTGCCTGTTAAAATACGTCGAACCCCAAATTTGCAGAATGAATTGTGTCGAGATAGCTTCTTCCTGAAGGCACTCGCAGCACAGCTCTTTCAGAAAGGATACTGGCCAAGGTGTTCATTTTGCTTTGTATTGACTTCAATATCCCTCTCTGCGAAGTCATATTTTCTTTTGTTGCCATGGCAATGCTGGAGGAGGAAAAAAGAATGGATCAAATCGCTGGTACTAAAAATAACCTGGAAGCTGAAACAACGGAAAAGCAAGGTGTGCAAAACTCCTTCAGATGAATGGGATGTAGCTACCCTCCAGAGATCACATTTTCTCCACTAATCTTCAACGATTAGCCTGTTGCCACTTTTCCTTTTAATAAGCTATGAGCAGGCAAAAGCGTGCAACTTTGGTAACAGTGCAGATTATTAGAACAAACAAAATAAAACAAAAAGATGAGACAACATTAGAGACAAGCCTAGAAACATTCTTATGGCAGAGATCCTAGAATCAGGAGTTTGGTTGAACTGTGGGGATCCACATGTTTGTTTCGCTCAAGACAGCGCCTGAAAGCCTTGTTTGATACACTATGGTGTGATGGATATAAAAATAATTGAGTAAATGAGAGTTCAATCAATCATAATTAAACGGTTTAGAACAATGTGAAAAAGTGAACTTTCTAACGGAGAGATGATCAAAGTGCAGCCTGAGGTCAAATACAGCCAATGGAACTCTACAAGGATCACACGTAGTTTCTATAGCGGCTACGTTCTATGAGAGTGCTGCCATCTATTCTAT